GCCTGCTTCTCCCTCTCCCACTCCCCCTGCTTGTGTTCCCTCTCTCACTGTGTCTCTCTCTGTCAAATAAATAAATAAAATCTTAAAAAAAAAGCACCTGACCATCTGTGTGAGGGTCTACTCTGGGCTCTCAGTTCTATTCCATTGATCCATATGTCTATCATCTTATGGCAGGCCACACTGTCTTCATGACTGTAACTTTGTAGTAAGTTTTGCAATTGGCAAGTTGGGCTCCAACTTTGTCCCTTTATTCTTTTTTTCTTTTTTTTTTAAAGATTTTATTTATTTATTTGAGAGAGAGAGAGTAGGGGGAGGGGCAGAGGGGAGAATCTGAAGCAGACTCCCCACTGAGCGTGGGGTGCAAGATCTCACGACCCATGAGATCAGGGCCTGAGACGACGCTTAGCTGACTAAGCTACCCAGGCGCCCGAGGGGTTCCCTTCTGATAAAGTGTACTCTTTGTGCAGATGCCCCTGATGATGGACACAGCCTCACCGTGGTTCTGTTTTCATCTTTAACACTTGGCTGAACCACAGCCATTTTACTGGGAAAAATTCCTGCCCTGCCTATAGGGCTATTAGGAGGATTACGTGGGCTCGAGCCTGTGAGGCCTTTGCCACATTCACGTACTTGATCAGTGTGGGTTTCCTTCTCTCTCTACTCCCACGTACGTTACAGGTGCAAGATACACGTCTGTCGGATGGACTGGGCTTGAATTGCTTTAATCAGAGGAACATGAGGCCTTGAAAGAATTCGCACAGAGGGGGCCGTGCTGGGCAGACCACTCCCGAGCCTCAGCCTGACCTTCACTGACTTTCACCTTCTCTTGGCAGGTGGGCACGAAGACTTTTCCAAGATGATCGATGAAGCTGAGCCCCTCGGCTACCCGGTCGTGGTGAAGAGCACGCGAGGACATCGGGGTCAGTGCTGCTCCTCCTGGCTTCCATTAGGGCCGCACCTCTGCTGGTTAGAGAAGTGGGGCGCCCCCTCACGGGGCTCGCGGTGTCGTCTGTCCTTCTGTCCCCTCCTTGCTGCCCCCACTGTCCTTGCTGCGTCAGACCCTTCTCGTTCACTCCCTGGACTCGGCAGCAGACTCCTGACTTGACCCTGACTGGTCTCCCTACCCCGGTGCCAGCGTGGCCTCTCTTCTTCCGAAACATCTGTCCTTACTCCTCCACTAACAAGCGCTTCCAAGAGCCTTGTTGCCTCTTAGACAAAGTCCGTATTCCTTGCCATAGCACTGAAGGCCCTGCAGCTGCACCCTTCCTTTGCACTCTCCATCGTCCACTGCAGACTACTTCTCCTTCACTAGCTCGACCATGTATTTTCTGTTCTTTAAACCTCTGTCCTCTTCCCTTCACTGGCAGCGCCATCTTCCTCTGGCCTCGGGTGAACCTCCGCTCACCAGTAAAGGCCAGCTGCCCCCCACATCGCTGGCCCCCCTCCCTCTCTGCGCGCTCTTCCTTTGGGTTTCCGTGGCACTTTGCCCACGCCTCTAGCGTAGCACTGCCCTTTATGACAGCTGCAAGGGCATGTGCCTCTCCCCCTGGCTGGCTGGGCACTGCTCAGGGGCGGGAACCCGGTCCCCAGCCTCTCTGTCCCGGGGGCCTGCCGCAGCGCTCGGTGCAGAGCGGGGACTGGTAACGGAGAGGAGCCTGCATGCAGCAGGAAGTCCTCCGGCAGCGTGGGGGCAGGGGCTCCCTGATGCGACCCAGGGGGCACACTTCCACGCTCAGGGCATCTGCAGTGAGGGGAGGCCCCCGAAACAGACAGGTGCTGAGCAGTTCCTGTGCTGGGGGGACTGGGCAGTGAGATGGGCTAGACTCGGTCACTGCTCTTAAGCCACAGCGTGCAGGGAGTAGAGACGGTTGCGTGGCAGGGCGACATCCTCTGTGGCAGGCTGGCCCAGCGCCTGCTCGCGCCTGACGGAGGGGGCCAGCTCGGCCACTAGGCGGGGGGGGCCTCACTGGAGGAGAAGGAGACTCCAGCTGGAGCGTGGAATTCAAACTGGAGGAAGTAAGCAAGCGAACATACGGAAGCAGGTGTGAGCAAAGCAACCTGTGGGAACCAAGGGTTCCTGTTGAGGAGAAGGAGGAATGAGTTTGGGGGGCAAGGTGGGCCCCTTAATGCTATTCAGATAGATATGCTACAGTGCTAAAGTTCAATGTCTGATTTTTTTTATTGTGCTAAAATATACGTAATGGGGAATTCAACTAATATTTGAGCGGCCACAGAGTGCCAGGCACTGTTCAGGCTCTGGGGATACAGAAAGGAACAAAACAAATCTCCTGTCCTCAAGGAGCTCTCATTGTAGAAGGGTAAGACAGATAATAAGTGGAAATTAAATAAAATACGTGGTATTTTCAAACATTTAAAAAATTGAGATGTAGGGGTGCCTGGATGGCTCAGTCGGTTAAACATCCAACTCTTGATTTCGGCTCCGGTCATGTTCTCAGGGTCATGAGATTGAGCTCTGCGTCAGGCTCCGTGCTGAGCGTGCAGCCTGCTTAAGATTCTCTCTCCCTGTTGCCCCACTCCTGCTTCCATGCTCTCTCTCTAAAAATAGAAAAATAAAAAAATTTAAAAATTGAGATGTAATTCACGTAACAGTTTGCCATTTTTAAGTGTACAATTTAGTGAATTTTAGTATATTCACTATTGTGTACAACCATAGCCACTATTTCATTTTGGAACGTTTCCATTCCAGAAGAAACCCTGCACCTATTAGGGGTCAATCACAGTTGCCTTCCCTGGACTCTGGTAACCACTAGTCTATTTTCTGTTTCTATGGATTTGCCTATTTTGAACATTTCATATCAGTGGAATCATCCACTATGTGACCTTTTGTGTCTGGCTCCTTTGACTTAATGTGATGTCTTCATGCGCCATCCCTGTTGTAGCGTGGATCCGTACTGCATTCCTTCTGATCCCTCAACAATAGTCTGTTGTGTTGATAGCCCACATTTTGTTTATCTGCTCATCAGCCGATGGACATCTGAGTTGTTTCCACTTTGTGGCCGTTAGGAGTAATGCTGCTACGGACATGTGTGTACAAGTTTCTATGTGGACATATGTTTTCATTTCTCTTGGGTACCTACCTAAGCCTGGAATTGCAGGGTCAGATGGTAACTCTGTATTTAACCTCAGAGGAACTACCAAACTGTTTTCCACAATGGTTATGTCATTTTATAGGCCCACCAGAAGTGTGCGAGGGTTCTGATTTCTCTTCATCCTCCCTGATCCTTGTTTTATTCATTCACTCCTTTATTTATGATTGGTTTTCTTTTTTGGAGTACTAAATAAGACTTTTTGATTGTATATATTAATTTGAACGTTTGTAGCCTGAAAAGTGGGCAGGCCTAACTCTTAGAATATACGTATATGGGGGCGCCTGGGTGGCTCAGTCATTAAGCATCTGCCTTCGGCTCGGGTCATGATTTCCAGGGTCCTGGAATCGAGCCCTGCGTCGGGCTCCCTGCTCCGCGGGAAGCCTGCTTCTCTCTCTCCCCTGCTTATGTTCTCCTTTTCCCTCTCCCCTGCTTGTGTTCCCTCTCTCGCTGTGTCTCTCTCTATCAAATAAATAAATAAAATCTTAAAAAGAAAAAAAAGAATATACATATATGAATGTCCTCTTTGCCTTGACAGATTAAGCAAATAATCACCATACTTCCACCATAAAAGCAAGACACAAGCCAAAATACATGTTTCCCAAGCATTAGTAATGTAGGGCCCCACTTTATTTATTTATTTATTTTTTAAATTAATTAATTAATTAATTTATTTGAGAGAGAGAGAGAGAAAAACAGCATGAGAGGGGATAGGGTCAGAGGGAGAAGCAGGCTCCCCGCTGAGCCGGGAGCCCGATGTGGGACTCGATCC